AAATTTGAAACTTGAAACTTGAAATTTGAAAACTTAAGCATTTTTTATTAGCTAAAAATGTTATTGAAAACTAAATAAACTAAAAATGTTATTCAATAACATATAATTTCAATACAAATAAATAAACATATAAAAAAAATAAAAATCCCACGTCCTGTCCCATCCCGTCCCGCCAAACCCCTTCCCATCCCGTATATATAGTGGGATGGGATGGGACGAATTTTTATCCCCCCAATCCCAGTCCCCCCAAAATCCCAGCCAAGGCGTCCTGTCCCGTCCCGTCCCCCTTCGTCCCGTGCCCCAGTCCCCGTCCCCTTGCCAGCCCTACTGTGGAATACGCTTATACTAGTTTTGTAAAATTTAGAAAAACATACTACTTTGGTGAATTACTTTAAATAATGGCTTAATTTTGTCAAAGCATGTCACACAAATTGGGATAGAGGGAGTATTAGTTATTCAACATATCTTGTATAAAATAATATATAGATTTTCTCATAATTTATACATGTATTAGTTATGTGGAACTTTAAATTAAAATCAAACATCGTATTTCCTTCTCATCAATTATCAAACGTTGTATTACTTATGCATTACTATTGACATAATACTCATTTTAGTGAATGATTTTACCTATTGGATTTGTGTAAATAGAAACGTGCACTTTTGCAAATATAAAAATTTTAAAAAAAAGTAGGCAGAGTAATTTTTGTAGTAATACAAAAAGGAAATTTGATCTGCTCAGTAGGAAGTATATAACGTGTGGTTTTGACAACATTTTTTTGGATTGTTAAGGTACTCGAATCGATTTGTACTTCATAATAACTTTTCTAGTATTGCATTTTCTTATATCTTATAATTGAAAAGGGGAGGAATAGGGAGAGGTATAAGACATGAAGAAGGAAGTGAAGCTAGCGGTCATGCAATTAGATGTAAGATTCTTTTGTCTAACTAAAAGTGGTGCTTTAAGAACAATTCTATGTCATGACACACTATTATTAACTCAATCATCTTTCCATTTGTATGACAATTCAAGTATATTATTGAAAGATTGAGCTAACAAAACATGAAAGCCAATAGTGTATGTATTATTTTCCTTGAATGCAAGAAATCTGAAGGAACTTGGATATAGAAAACCAATTGCTTTTCCCCTCTAACATGCACTGTTCAAGTGTCTGCTACTCAGATAAATGATCCTCAGGTGTATCTGCAAGATCATGAGATAGTTACCTCGTCTTCTGAAAGAATGCGCCTGACTTCCTTTGCTATGTCGATGACATGTTTATCTTCACACCCTAGTTCAAGTGAATATAGATAATGTTGGCCAACAATGTACAGAGTGATAAATCTAAAGCACGAAACGAAGTAGGAAACAACAGCTTTTTTAGGCTTAAGAAGTTACCTAAGAGGCCAAGGGCTTTTTCAAGTTGAAAAAGGTAATCTCTATTGGGTCCTGAGGGGCCTTCTGCATGAGCGATTTGACTGCACAATTCAAATATACATTAAAAGTTGACAAACTATAATGCCTATTCCAAAAGTCAAATTCTAAAAAGCTCCCTTTAGATGAAATTAGAATCACAAAGAGCATAAGGCAGGTCAAGACAGTTACCTGTTGTTGCAGTCAAGATGATTTTGTAAAAAGAACTTCTATTCACTATTGGAAGTTAAACTTATATTTTTACAGTTCTGATGCTTAAAAGTACCCACTCATACACAGAGTTCAACAACCCACTTGTCCACCAAACTTTATCAGAGGATTGTTGGCTATACATAACTTAAGAGCATGAAACTAATTATTAACAATTAATTATTAAAAGAAAATTAACCAAGAGATGTATCCACATCATTGAAATCGACAAAAAATGTTCAAATACATTTCTCATGTGTAACAGTGTATTCAATCAAGGGAGAAATATTTATGTTCTTGGATTCAACAATAATAAATCTGGGCAGCCCGGTGCACTAAGCTTCCGTTATGTGTGGGGTCCTGGGAAGGGCCGGACCACAAGGGTCTATTGTTAGAAAATAATCGTTAGAAAAATGGATCTTGTGTCTAAATCCTAATTAAACCCAGTACTCAAGTGATGAGGATTGTCCAAGAACATATAAGAAAAAATACATTTCATATACTTAACCTATGTGTTATGTAACACCTCCTGCACACCCAGGACACGACATTTGGAGTGTGAAGTGGTATAACAAGGGGAACAATATTGAGTAGCCCAACATCAAGGATGAGATGAGCTTGGCTCTGATATCATATTGTCACAGCTCATCCACTAGTGATATTGTCCGCTTGAACCTAGACCTTCACGGCTTTAAGCGAACCAAATCTTAGGCCTGCTTCCTTACATACCCAACATTTCTCTTGTATTTGTCGATGTGGATTTACTTAGCATATTACATACATCCTCCTTCTAGGAACTCAACATCCTCGCTATGAGCTGTCCAACCATCACTTAAGGTTGTACACAGAGTGGCTACGATACCATGTTAAGAAAATGGATCCTGAGCTTAATCCAAAAGGCTAGCTCATTCCATAAGGGTTTTCCAAAATCGTATAAAAAATCCTAGGCATAATCCAAAAGCCTAGCCCATGCCGTAAGGATTTTCCAAAAATCATATAAGAAAGGCTACAACACAACACTTAATCAATGTGGAATTCTAAGAATCTCAGCTTTGTTTACCTAGGATCAAAGTCAAGATCGTTGGTCACTAAAATGTATTTCCTTTTTCTATCAGAAATTCTGACATGGGCTTGTCAATATAGAATGTAGTGCGATTTTTTTTTAAAAAGCACTGAAATATGACACACACCTAGCAATTTCTTCAACTGATGCAGGTCCCAGGTAGTTCTCGTTAAGCTTCTTGTCTGGAGAACCTATGTATCTGAATAGTCAAACAGTAGTTTTGCATGATGAATCAAGAAAAAACTGAGTCGAAATTATGTAGTGTGTCAATTTTGTAACTTACACTAATACACCAGAAACAGCTGGTGCTGATGCTGCAGGCTCCTGGATATAAGTTGATTTGTTAATGAATCAATTAGCACAGAGCAAAGAATGATAAATCAACAAGCACTTTCTTTTGGTTAAACGTTAACTCAGTATGACTTACAGTGAAAAGATCTACATAAGCCTTCTGGTCATATTGTTTTTCCCTGACTTCAAGGTACTAGATGGAGGAAACATGAAAAGAATATACATTAACAAAATAGAGTCATTCAATGATGTGATTTAGGCCACATGAATGTCATTATAATATAATTGTAACCAGACAAACAAAAAAAGCACTGTCATACAAGTGAAAGATAGAAGCTCAATTAATATTTGGAAGACTGGAACCAGTAAATTGTGAAACTCATACAGAAATTGGGGGAACCGGAAAACTACGGCAGTCAAACACAGATATCTATGGTAGATCTCTGCTGTCAAAGTGAACATATGGTATATCCTAGGAGAATGCTGCAGAGGGAATCTGTGAATGTGGAGCAAGAGCAAACTAATAATGGTTTTGGTCAAAAGACGTAAATTGTAGCATTTACTACATATTTCAAAATCAAAATGCTTAAGGAATTCAAAATATCAACTAACATAACCAAACAGAAAGAAGGCAAAGAATAAAGAAAAAAAGAGAAAAAAAGCTTAGAATAATACTTTATAGGGGAGCCAAATCTTTTGGATTCAAGTTGGGATGCAGTTTTCCAATTCATCTAAGTGAACATGAGCATTTATTTGATATTTGTTACCCAAATCTAAATAATTAAAGTTCTAGATTTCCTTCGGAAATTCAATTACACACAAAGCTAATTCCAGAAATTCTAGAATCCCTTTTAGGAATTCTCTCAAGAAAATACTATTTTTAAGAGGCCACTGGCAAGTCAAGTCGCTCAACTTCTCTTTCATAGCATAAGGGCTGACAAATTACAACCAACTACTTTAATATGACTTTCTAAGGCAACATCAGATATTCTGCTTTCTGGCAATTAGTGTAGTAAAAAAGAACCAGTGATTATGCATTTTGTTATTGATGCATGCCTCACTGCCTGGCAACTGAATGGTTTCATCGTTCAATTAGAGTTGCATGCCTAGTAAGACACCTTTGAGCTTAATGTTTCCTTTCCTGCTTTGAGGTATATTAGCACTTTTTTAAGGGATAAATTACATATAAGAGATGAAGCATGGAATACTGCTGTTGCTCATTTTTGGAGCACATGTGAGATTCCGATGAGCATCGACCACTAATCCCCCCTTGTTTGTGAACAGGGAATTTCCCCTTTCTGAGGTTATATGTAATAACATTACTCTAACGAAAATTTAGAAATTTTGCAAGCATATAATAGCTCAAAAAAATTATATGGTTTAACTGACTTTACTATTTCTTTCAATCAGCCTGTTGCCAAAATATTATAAATTAGACCACATTTTACCTCCTTAAAGCTGTAACTTAATCTATCAAGCTAATAAAAAAGCAGTTGTCTCCTTGACTCTTCAGTGCATAAAGTCAATAGATTTTACGACAGCAAGATAACACTTCATTACTTTCAAACAGTAAGAATGGGATGTGCCTCAAATGTATATCTCACAATAGCACAAATTTTGAATTCTCGCATAAGGTAAACGCAAGCATAAAATACCATATAGTTTACAATCTTTCATATGGAGAAAGGATAAGATAAAAGAACATGTATAAAAGAAAAACGTACTGTCAGTGCAACTTCTTGATCTTCCTCCTTTGTTATCTTGTAGGCCATACCCCACTATAAGTGTAAAGAGTCGTCAGTTTCAACTATTGGGAATTAGTCACACATAAGCAGATAAATCTCATTACATAAAATAGCATTCACAAGCCCCTTTGTTCCTTTTTCTCATTGAGGAGATACGTTGTTGCTGCAAAGAATATGCGGCAGATTGTGCATTGCACTGGTTAATCAGAAACTTCACTACTAAGTTGATCGTCTAAGAAAGCAATGAGAAACGGATACACACTGCTTTGATTGGATACACAAGAGGAGAGGGAAGGAAAGAGACACGAAGAAGGATAGCTTTATTATCTTCTTTCAGAGTGTACACACTTCATACTCTTTCCTTTTTTTATGCCCTTGCATCAATCAGACATTTGAATAACAGGAATACAAAGAAAAGAACAGACGGCCATTGAATCAGACACTATCCTTTGCATCAATCAGACATTGTTTTGGACTTATATAATAGTGATGTAACGTGACGATATCAGCCATTGAATCACATTAATACCTAGTGCATTAGGACCAACTGTAACAGAGGAATTTTATGGAATCAGAAGAGGTGCATATAGAAGGAAACGGTGTGCATCATCACCTGTGAATCCATACAACAACCTAGAAGAATGGAAGTGTTTTTCATTTTTTACGACAACTGAAAGGCATATAAGAGAAGGCTCCTCATATTAGCATCCTAACCTAGACTAAGCAGCCAGACAATAGCTTCTAAGGAAGCATCCAGTGAGACAAAGGCAGCCTATACCGAATCTCTAGCAGTACTCCGCGAAAATATTAGGCATCCAGTAGTGAGAAGAAGCATGCATAGTCCAATGGCACCAATAACCAAAATCATCATCTTATGAAGTTCTTTCTTCCTTCAAGACAAAGTAACAGATAAATTCTTCTTGCCCTCTTTAAAAAGTATGATCTGCCTTCTTATACACTTGAAGAAACTGGGAAGCGCACCAGCTTAAAACACTCTTATTTAGTTTCCAGGTATCTCTACTATGCAGAATACTTTGAGAAAGCTTGCCCACAAGGACTTTATGTACAGTTCTGTTATATAACTTCTACTAATCCCTTTAGCAAATGTACAGACAAGGTTGGAGGTATTAGATTTGCTTGAACAATCTTACTCAGATAAGAAGACAACATACATGAAGAAAAAGATGAAGGATGATTTTAATATATACCTCTTGTTTAGATTGAAACAAACAACAATGGAAACATTAAACAAGGAAGTATCTTCAAGAGAAACTAGGATCCATATATATGATAATCTATTCACCATTTTCAATTTCCTTTTCGTACAGACATTGGAATAAAAGTGAACACATCACTTTATTTGATTAATTTTAATCTTAAAAAAAAAAACATATTTATGTGGAACTTCAATATTTTGGAAAGCATCAAGATCGCCCAACTCTATCGTGGGATCAATCGGGGAACTTGAGAGGTGGTAATCAAGGCTTCAATTGATTTAACTGTCTAATTTTCTCCCTTCTTAACATACACAAGTACTTCTAGATCAATAGTTATTGAACGAATCAAATCCATTGAGTTCACTTGTCATAAAACACCTTTTTCTTTTTTTTGGAAGGAAAATTAGATGATCTTACTCTATTTCTATTCTGCAGCTTCCTGAAGAATATTAGAACAGCAGGATGAAAATGCTAAAAAGAAAAAAAGTCACCTTCTTGAAGCATTTCAGATTAAGGAAATGAAAATCAGCACAAATTAATAGGAGAAAAAGAGAAGATCATACACAGGCAACAAGAAGGCAATTTCATGTTAATCTTTAGTACAACAACAACAACATTAACATACCCAATGTAATTGCACAAGTTGGGGTGGGGAGGGTAGAGAGTACACAAACCTTACCCCTACCTTGGGAGGTAGAGAGGTTGTTTCCCCGATTCAGCTCAAGAAAAAGCAATTCAAAGCAGATCGAAAAAGAAATGATGTACTGGAGATGCTATGGCAACATGCTAATCTTTAGTGTCACTAAAAAAAAGTTATATATTTAAACTTTTTTGTGACATTTCTTCATAGTATATTTATTTTTCCATTCTCTTTGACTCTTTCAGCCTCATAAACTTGGCAACCAGTTACATTTAAGAATTGAGCCACATGGATAAGTTGGGATATAGCAGAAAAAGAGACGAACAAGGTAGTCAATACATTGACAAGTAAAGACAAACATGACATGGGTTAATGTAAAAAGAAAGAAACACTCACACAAATTTCTCCTTCAGCAGGCTCCAGTGTCACTGTTCTACCTGGGAATTCTGGTGTCCCTCTGTGATCAGTACTGCCTACATAACACATATTTATACTTCTATTAACTCTCCACTAACTAGACCAACTATATATAGTTCTCAAAGATTAATTCTTTCACTTTGACAATCAGAAAGAAGCATATGACAGTGTAACATTCACAAGCATTCAATGTACATACAAAACACAGTAAAAAATAGAAGCCTTTACCTTGATAAAAGACACGACGATAGCCTTTGATAAAACCGAAAAGACGATCATCGTAGTTAAAGCCTGGCTTCCAAATTAGAGATCCATATCCAAATACCCACATCACCATCTTTTTTTCCTCAAATGAAATTTGAGCAGACCCAAGAATGTTGTGGATTGGTTAATACCTTTCAATACAAAAATTATTAGCAGCTTACCAAACCAATGGCTAGATGCCAAGACAGGATCGTATTTATCAAAGTTTTCATTCTCCCTCCCCAATGGCACTTTTCGGATTTTGAGTTCCAAACAAGTGTCACGTAAATTGGGATACGGAGTATATTTTTTAGGGACAAAAATATCTTTGTGAAATGAAATAAAAAAGTCTAAAAATGTGGTGTTTTGTCCCAACAAAGTCTTTGTCCTAATAAATATATTACTGCATTATTTTCTTTTTTTTTTCTAAATAAAAGTACATTATTATTGAAGAATTTTTTAATTTTAATATCCATTTAACTAATATTTCCTCTGTTCCTAATTACTTGTTCACTTTTGAATTGACACACTTATTAAGAAATAATAATTGATATATTGAGTTTACTACTTTACCCCTATTGAAGTGGATAAATTGAAAACTTTAGATTTTCAAGAAGTTCAATATTTTTCAAAGTAATAAATTGAGGGTATAATGGAGAATTTTCTTTGTCCTTTCTTGATTTGTCAAAATTGACAAGTAATTAGGGACAACTAAAAAAGAAAAAGTGGACAAGTAATTAGGGACAGGGGGAGTTAAAAAGTGGAAGCAAATATCCTTCAATTATGAAAAAAGGCTCATAAATATCATAAATCACCTTCTGATCTAAAAATATCCTCAACTTATTTTTTGGCTCAAGAATACCTCTATCCTATTGAAAATGATTCAAAAATACCCTTATTTCCCCATTTGGTCTTAAAATACACTTAATATTTATTTTTGATTCAAGAATACCCCTCCTTTCACTTTGGCAAGTTTGAATGTAGAAGCCCTTCAACTTGGTATAAAATGTTGTTCATGATTAAATATTTGTAATTCGCTAATGTAACCATAACATAGATAGTTTCAAGTGAATTAAGGATGGAAAAGTCCTGGATTGGTGAGAATGATCATGAGACTGGCATGGGGTTTGAGATTACGAAATAATTGAGAATTATTTAGGTCATTTTGTGTTGTATTGTTGTGTATAAATAAAAAACAAACTAAGCTTCATAACAAAGTAAAGGCTTAACTTCAATAAGGCGTTCATACTTGATTCGAGGTTGGTGATGATTGAGTTGTTTTTCAATTTACGTTATGGGTACATGTTGACCGTTCCATTAGCAATACTTGTACAATACGTGTTCATGGAATAAAGGAATACTTAATATGCATTGATACATATATTGTTGTCGATCTCATGCCACGAATATGTCTTAACTACGTGTAGTCTTGCAAGTGTGGTTGTATTCAATGTAGGTGTGATCGTGTGATGTTTGTGTTTATTGGTTGATTCGGTACCATGCCTGGTACATATTATAGGTAGGTTCAAGTACCACGCTTAACACATATTATTTGTTGGCTCAGGTACACGCCTGATACACGTTGATTGTTTGTTTGTGTGTTGGTCCTATGAGTGAACCAGATTTATTTATTGTAATTGTGTTGGATATGTTTGTTGTGGTTGTTATGTCATGTGAGGGCCGGAAGTCATGTTTATGTTCACTGATTTTGGTGATATATGTATGTGTTGTCTTGTTTTACTAAGGTTTAGTTACTTATTCATATTTTGTATACTTGGAGTTAGCCGATGATCCTATCAATACACTGTTCATTTGGTGTATTGATATTTGCACTAGCTCTTCTTTTGTTGAGTACACGACATATTCTAGAGATCATGCGTGACCTTAGTTGTGAGTCCCACACTTTTTGGATCTAAGGGTGAACTGCTTCTTCCGAAGTGTCATGGATTCGTCTATCTTCTCTAGTCCATTGTTCAGACCTAGTTTTCTTTTATTTTGGGATTGCAACCCCTATATTCTAAAATATATAGATATTTTGGTACATAACTTTTAGATTCTAAGGAGATTATTTTCGTGAATTTCTTTTGATAATGGTCTTTGTTATAAATCTTAGGTTATTTACTGAGATGTTGTTTTAACGGTTACCTATAATGGCTTAGTGAGTTCGTATTAGGTTGGCGATTAAGTGGGTGTTTGGATTGACTTAAAAGTTGGTCAAACCTACTTCAAAGTTGATCAAACCTACTTAAAATTATTTTTAACCTATTTTAAGTCATTTTAAACTTATTTTAAGTTATTTTTCACCTTGTCAAACACTTCCTAACTTATTTTAAGTCATTTTAAACCTATATTAAGTTATTTTAACCTTCTCAAACACTTCCTAACTTATTTTAAGTCATTTTTGATTTATTTTAAGTTTTTTTATATTTGTCAAACACTTCAAAAGTCAAAAATTGACTTAAAAGTAGGTTTGACCAACTTTTAAGTCAATCCAAACACCATATTGTCACACTACTATTTGTCATGATGGACCCACTCTCTTGTTGTCATGACGACAATTTTATTGTTGTTTCTAGGCATCTAATCATCTGCAATCAAGGTAGTTCAATAATTTTATTTGTTGTTCCTCTGTTTTAATTTTGTCCTCTTCTTGTTTTATCTTTTCATATATTTAAAATTTGCGTAAATAAATTACAATAATAAATAATTTAAAATGTTTTAAAGAGATTAAAAAATTTGGTTGATTCTTGAAATTCTATTGATGCCACATAAAATGAAATAGAAAAAGTAGCATGTATTATTTGGAAATGATATAAAAAGAATTGTAAATCCCATATTAACATGTTGAAATATTTAAAAACATATAAAAAAACTATTGTCTCTTGAAATTTTATATGCGCCACATAAATTGGGATAAAGGGAGTAATATATATTATTTAAAAATTACGTAAAAAGTATTAAGAATTACAATAATTAACAACTTATGATATTTAATAAACATAATAACATTCGGTTGACTCTCAAAATTCTATGAGTGCCACAAATATTAATATAGAGAAAGTAACATGTACTCTTTGAAAATAACGTCAAAATTTGTATAAATCGCAATAATTATTGAATAACTTAAAAATTCAAAAGACATAAAAAATTTGACTGACTCTCGAAATTCTATCAGTGCCACATAAATTGAGACGGAGAGAGTAATATATGTTACAGTATTAAAAATTATGTAAAATATAGGGATAAGGCACAAGCACCCCCTGTCCCCCCTAGATTATGACTGAAATTTCAAAGATACACCTTAACTAAACTAATGTCTTATTAACCTTTTTTTGTTTGTTTGTAATTTTGTATACCTTTTTGGCTTACGTGACATCCAAACATCTCACACACGCCTCAACTACGTAGAGTCACGGAGTGTGCCACGTAAGTCAAAAGGTTTATAAAATTAAAAAAAATGAGTTCGGGAATAGTAGGACCTTAGTTTAGTTAAAGTGTGTCTCTGAGATTTGGGTCATAGTTTAGGGGGTACTTGTGTCTTATCCCTAAAATATACTATAAATCACAATGATGAACAATTTAAAATATCTAAATCATTATAAAATTTGATTGACTCTCCAAATTCTATCGATATCATATAAATTGAAACAAAAAAATACATATTGGATCTGCTAGCATAGGCTCCAGTATCATATATATATATATTCAACATTTTTTCTACAATTAGAAAGAAACCAAAAAAATTCAACTTCTTAAGAGAAACAGAAACAGGAGCTGAAGCAAAATATTATCTTTTTCAAGACAAAAGTATCTCTATCATAAATACATATTACTAAATATATGCTCACTTAATTAATTAATTATTATTTTTTAATTATAAAATAACATGTTTGATTTCTACCTATGTGGCTATGTCAACTCTTTTCCTTTTTATTCTTTAAAATAATGCATTTCATATCATTTTTTTTTGTTTTAAATACACTTAAATCATCATGTTAATATTATAGCAATATTTAATATTTTTCTTGATTTATCTATGTATTAATTAATTTTTTCATCATAAATATTTATAATAATTTTTCTCTATACAATAATTTTAATAATAAACGTGTTTGATATTTATCATTTTTTGTACTTTGACATTCAAAAACACTTTCTAAAAAAAATTAGTCAAATACAATTTACTAGTGAAAACACTTTTTAAAAGAATTAAAACACAAACGGTCTCTTTGGAATTTGAGATACGCAAGTGGCAACTGGCAAGTTATTAATTAAAAAAATATGATTTATATAGAAATACTATAGTATTAGATGACGTGCTATAATTTAGGAACAAAAATAATAATAGAAAAAGTTTTTCTTAAAAAATTAAAACATTTCACTTTTATAAATATAGAAGAATATGAATTATTAGTTCCCGGAAGTAGGTTATTTTTTTTAAAAAATAATTATTACAATGACAAAAGATAAAATTTAATTTAAAATTCATTTTTTAACCAATATATTTTTACCACTAATAAGCAAAAACAATATAATAAATAGCACCCAATATCCTAACTACCTACTAGAATACCATTATCATCTCTACTTCTAGAAATGGGTGTTAAGAAAATTAAAAGATAAACTCAAAATTTTATTGAAAAAGCAAAAGAAAAGGAAATTGTAATTGCTTATTACACTTAAAATTAAGATATGACAAATGGTAATTAAGTGGAGGTTCAATATAAAATTAAAATTATACCTTTTTTATTAGATACGTAAGTAATGCTCTTTCTACAAATAATTGAGTGAGCATTTTATCTTTGTGTTTAATGGTGTATTGTTTTTAGATTGGAATCTGTTGTTGTAGTTTTACTTGATAATCTTAGTCAAGAATTAATGAATAGTTTACAAAATCATTTATTGAGAAAATTATATGAATTCATCAACACAATTTAAATCTTATTGCATAATCTTACGACATTTTTAAATATAAAAATGATTTTCCTTTCCATCCTTTTTATGAAAGTTCATGAAATACAAATTAATATGAATAAACATAAATAATATTTTTCCCCTAAATGTCCCGCGCATCACACGGGAACTACACTAGTAAAATTTAAAGAATGAACTATAAATATAAAAATCATTATATATACCTGAGCGCTTGTTTATCATTGCATGTTAAGAATGTGAATGTCTATTTTTAGGGTGCTATTTATAACGTTTTAAAATAGTTTAAGGAGGTAATAAGATTCCCATAAAATATAAGTGTATAGTTGAAAATTAGATAATAGATTTGGGGTCATTTGACTATTTTTTCAATATCTTTTTTTAAAAAA